AGAGGAACTCGAATGCGCACCCTTAAGCAGTAAATATTGACTCTAACCAGCAGAATTTTAAAGTGAAATATTTTACGCCTTAACACCTTTAATAGTTTACTTTAGGCTCAAGAGTTATCTATTGTTAGTATTCTGTCCCTTTAGTAGGCTTTTAGAAGAACTCAGGTTTTATCAACCACACTTGGTAATAGCCTACTCTTTCATAATCCTAGAGGCAATTAATGTTACCCCAGAAATGAATGATTTGTATAATAACAGTTGTCTGTTTATCACTTTTATTCTTCTAAAATTTACTTTGCTCTATTATTCAATAAAACAAAAATACTCAGAGAGTTTATCAGTATCATAATTTCTAGGCTCTAGAACAGTGTTCATCGATTGGTAAAACCTGCCTTAATACAAAAATCAAACATATAGTCATCCGTTAATATTTGGCCAATAGTTCCAATAAGGTCTCATTTGTGAAACCATTCTAAGAAGATAACAGTTGCAACTTTTTCCTGAAGGCATTCACATCACAGTAAAAATACCTGCAAGCTATGGTTTTTAATTTTGAATAAAGTAAATGGAAGATGCCCTCCATTATTGCTACAGGCTGAACATCGTGCGGGTAAGCGAATTTTTAAAGGAAATGCTCTTCATGAGCCAGATTAGTGAAATTTATCAAAACAAAACCATAAAAACACATGAAATTTGTCACAGTTCTCATTATTTTGCTTTATCCTCTTGTTTCATGGTAAAACCTGCAGCTTGACTGTTCAACAAGTAATTACTAAGCACATAAAATTTATTTGGAAGACAGCAGTAAAGAAAAGAAACTTCCCATAGCCTGAGCAATCAAGAATGCCTGTGTCATCATGCCCAGGCTCACTTATATTCCATTATCACCTCAGCAGAGGCTATGACTTTGCAGCTGTCCCGGAGTGGTTCGCCGAGCAGGTGGACGGAATCATCCTGCCCTTCGATGCCCATAAGCTGGAAATCTCTGATGAGTTCTCGGAAGTGATCAAGGCTCCGAAGAACCACAAGGACAAGATCCACGTGGTGCTGAACAAGGCAGACCAGATCCAGATGCAGCCGCTGATGCGGGTGTACGGGGCCCTCATGTGGTCCCTGGGCAGGATCATCAACACCCCCGAGGTGGTCAGGGCCTACATCGGCTCCTTCTGGTCCTACCCACTCCTCATCCCCGACAACCGCGAGCTCTTTGAGGCTGAGGAGCAGGACCTCTTCAAGGACATCCAGTCTCTGCCCCGAAATGCTGCCCTCAGGAAGCTCAATGACCTGATCAAGCGGGTGCGGCTGGCCAAGGTTCACGCCTACATCATCAGCTCCCTCAAGGAGATGCCCAATGTCTTTGGGAAAGAGAGCAAAAAGAAAGAGCTGGTGAACAACCTGGGAGAGATTACCAGAAGATCGAGCACGAGCACCAGATCTCCCCCGGTGACTTCCCGAGCCTCCGCAAGATGCAGGAACTCCTGCAGACCCAGGACTTCAGCAAGTTCCAGGCCCTGAAGCCCGAGCTTCTGGATATGGTGGACAACATGCTGGCCAATGACATCGCACAGCTGATGGTGATGGTGCGGCAGGAGGAGTCCCTGATGCCTTCCCAGGTGGTCAAAGGCAGCGCCTTTCACGGCACCATGACGGCATTGATGACGTCGAGTCGGTGGTGGGCAAAGCCCACCTATGACGAGATCTTCTACATGCTGTCCCCCCCATCAAAGGCAAGATCACGGGCGCCAACGCCAAGAAGGAGATAGTGAAGTCCAAGCTGCCCAACACAGTGCTGGGGAAGATCTGGAAGCTGGCGGACGTGGACAGGGACGGGCTGCTGGACGACAAGGAGTTTGCATTGACCAACCACCTCATCAGGGTCCAGCTGGAGGGCCACGAGCTGCCCGCTGACCTGCCCCCGCACCTGGTGCAGCCCTCCAAACACAGGCACGAGTGACAGTGCCCATCCTGCCCCTGCCATCTCCATGCCCGGCCAGGAGGCGGGGACGGGAGGGAGAGGGGAAGCCTCACCATTTCTTGAGGTCCATAAAGACTGAGTGGATGTTTCCTCGCCTCTCGAAAAGGAAAACCACCATCTTTCTTTTAAGGCTATTCCTGGGCCTGGTGGGGGAGACTGGTGAGATGATGGAATTATTTTATGCACAAGAAATATATATATATATATTTAAGGAACATATTGCACTTTATTAGTTAACTTAGAAGCAATGGGAGAAAAGGCAGACCCTGTAAAGGTCATGAGATGCTCATTTTACAGAGAAAAAGGGAAACACTTTTCTGGATCATAGAGGTAGAGGCATTACCAGAAGAAAAATAATAATTCAGAGATTTGTGTCTTCAACTGTGTTCCCTAGAAATGGACTCAGGGATGGAAAATTCCATTTAGAAGATTTACAGGGGATATTCTCACCAGAGTCTTGCCTATATGGAAGTAAGGAAAATAGAAGTGGGCAGAGGGAGATCCTGACCGGCCAAGCAGCTGCAGCCAGGGCCTGATCTGGTCCTAAAATCCAACAGGGTACTTGGAAAGTAGAAAGGGCTCTTCGAATCTGCACCTCATTACGCCAAACCGGAAAGACGTTTTTACCCCTGCAGCAATCAGTCATTGTTCCATAAACCAGTCCAGCTTTGCAAAAGATGCACTGGCATTCCTGGAGCGTGGTCATCTTGTCCAGAGACTGCTCACACAGACAGAGTTTGCAAGTGATGAGGGGGGCCAGAGCCAGGTCTCCAGGAGTGGAATTTTCAGCCGTCATGGTGAGATAGTGGAGCCTACCACCTGAGCCCATCAGCCTGTCTTCAACTTTCTTCAGTCTCCTCCCATATCTGCCTGGGGACTGGATTAATTGTCCACAAGGTGCCCTTCTTGGGCTGACCCCCAGTGCTGTTGCCTTTCTCCATGGGGTGGGAAGAATGGGTTTGAGAAGATCCTGTTATTCAGACTGTAAATGTGCTCCTGGGAGGCCTTCATCACTGACATTGATGAGAGTCAGCAGAGAGGGCGGGTTAGAGAAGACCAGGCTTTGCATGGTGTATGACTTGAGCCCTGGGTTTTCTACCATCCAGCTGTGGCCTCGAGGACAACAGTCTGCTTGTTGGAGCCTCAGCTTCTGCTTCCTTCCCTGAATCATGAGGAAACCCCATCTCAGACTGATGTAAAGTGTAGAGCTGATGTCTGGGCGAGGACCTCCATAGCCATGTATCGCCCTCAAGAAAGAGTTGGGCCAGTGCCTTGTGAGCATATTCAGGATAGCGGGCTTCAAGACATGAGTCAGGAACTGGAAAAAAACCTCTGCACTGGATGGTGGGTTCCAACCCTATGGTCACAGCAGTCTCATCGGAGCACCAATGGTGAGGGATGTATGTTTCCTTCCTGTATGTGGAAGGGGGACCAGGTTTTTTCCTTTTTTATTTCTCAACATAAACTTTATTACGTTTATAGTTGTGTCCCTTTGTGTGATATATTTAGGATTAATTACTTAATAGAGAAATCCTAACTATATCCTTGGGCTGATTTGATTTCTGCCCCCACCCAACAGACTGACCCTTGTCCCCTCTTCCCCATTTCAGCTTAAGGCACTTAATATTCCAAAGAAGGCAGTGGCTTGCTGGAGAGATGGGCTCAAGTCAGAAATCCCCCAGTGCAAGTTAAGACAAACAGAAGTCACCTCCCTCGTAGGACCCTCCCTGGATTAGCAGAAGGAAAGAGCACAGAAGTCTTCAGTATCTCCTAAGCCAGGTGAGGGACCCCCAGGCATTTTCCCTACCCTCACTGAGTCTCGCTTCACCCTGGCTACTTCCTGGCCACATTTATTACTCTGCCCCTTACTTTCTGCTCTGAGCTGCCTGAATACAGGAAGCAAGAGCTCACTCTGACCAGAGATCTCAGAAGCTCGCAAGGAGGCCTCAGCGGCTTTGAAGAATGAGGAGCAGATGGCCACATGTGCTCTGCTCTTATACTGTCACAAGCCAGGAGCAAGCCCAGGGGAGATGCTGTTCTGTATAGGTTACTTTGTTCATTCTATTCTTCGTCCCCAACCCTATCCCATATAAACAATACATATATGTCATTGAAACAAGAAGGGATTGAAGCAAGGAAACCCATGGGCACAGATCTCTTCTACCTTCCTGAACTAAAAGATGCCAAGCCAAAGGAACACGAGGAGATCTGCCTGGCTGAATGTGACATCTACAGCTATAACCCAGACTTGGACTCAGACCCCTTCGGGGAGGATGGTAGCCTCTGGTCCTTCAACTACTTCTTCTACAACAAGCGGCTCAAGCGAATTGTCTTCTTTAGCTGCCGCTCCATCAGTGGCTCCACCTACACATCCTCAGAGGCAGGCAATGAGCTGGACATGGAGCTGGGGGAGGAGGAGGTGGAGGAAGAAAGCAGAAGTGCAGGCAGTGGGGGTGGGGCCAAGGAGACCAGCACCATGGAGGAGGACAGGGTCCCAGTGATCTGTATGTGATGAGGAGGAGCAGAGGTCCCAGGTTCTTCCAGATTCAACCAATGCCTGGACCTGTCTGCCTGAGAGGCCCCTGGGGCCTCCCCAGCTGCTGCTGCCACAGTCCTGGCACTGCCCAAGGCCACACCTGCCTAGCCCTTTGGCTCCAGCCTGTGGATGCCCACTCACCCCCCAGGCTCCTGCTGCCCATGCTGTGGCCAGACTCTGCAGCAGGGGACCTGGTGGGAAGAGCAACTGCCCTGCCCAAATAAACTGCTGCAAGCAGGGACAGCTGGACCACAGAGTTTATTTTTGTATTTCTCCTGGGCCTATCCACTCCAGCCCAAAGGGCCTGTGGCCAGAGGCCCCGCAAGCAGGCCCCAGGGGTCACTGGCTCTGGTCTTGGGCCGGCCCCTGGTGCCCACCTCTACCCCCGACCTTGCCCATTTGGCCGCGTGCACTGAGTGTCACTTTGCTGCAGCTCATTCCTTTACAATAAAAGTTTGTGTGACAAAAAAAAAAAAAGACCATACTTTTTTTTTTTTGGTAGGAAACGCATTTTGCTTTTTTATTTTCTGTAAATAAAATACAAAACCAAGGGATATGGCTGGGCAGAGAGGCAGGGTGGCAAAGCCCCGGACACTGATTTATGGCAAGGGATGTGCAGAAGAATATATTAGATTTTCAATGCTAGGAATCTGTGGGGGAGGGGTATCTGGAGGCAGCCCTTATGCTCCTGGCCAGTGCCTGGTGAACGCTGAAAGTGGGGGGAAGGGGCGCCAGGAACCCGTGGGTGAATAGTTTAGAATGCTGTGCTAGCCATGCTGCCAGGCCCAAAGATGCGGGGCAGGGCATCCAGGGACTCCTCCAGCCATCGATGGGCAGACTGTCCCTCTTCTCCACACTGCTGCAGGCTCTGCCGGGCAGCTTCCCTCACAGCTTCTGTGTCCATCTGGCAGAGGTACACCAGGGGCTCAGTGCCCCCAGTAGCCTTGATGCAGCCCAGGGCCAGGCAGCAGCCACTCGAGTCTGCACATCTTCATCTTCCAGCTGGTCCAGGAAGCACAGGAGGGCCCTCTCCCGGAAGGCAGGGCCCAGTGACAGGCTCCAGAGCTGGGTGCTGACAGCAGCCATAACCTTGTTGTTGCCATGGATGAGAAGGGAGCTGAGGGCCTGCAGCCCATCCCTCCGCAGACGCCCCTTGGGCGCCAATCTCAGGGCCTTCTGCACAACAGCCTCGTCATCTGAGTTCAGATTCCACACCAGTAACACTTCCTTGGCAGTCTCGGTCACGTAGGCCTCCATGGAGGGGCTTTCCAGGGTTTCCACGAAACTCCACAACTGGAAGACTGTGAGCTGCTCTCCAGGTCCTGGCTGGGGCCTTCTGGGCAGCTTCTGCCCCAGGGCATCCTCCAGAAACTTCACACACATAGCCTCGGCCAAGCCTGGCTGGCGCAGGGAGAGGCGGGCACCATACTGGTTGCAGAAGGTGAGAAGCACCCGTTCCATTGGGCAGAGGAAGCAGCTGAGTCCCTCTGTGCATTGGTCCCAGAAGGTCAGGAAGCCAGGCCGAGAGGCTGAGAACTGCACCACTTCCTGGGCAGAGGTGGCCAGGGTCTCCCACCTTCAGCACTCAGGCTTCCAGCAGCAGCCGCTCCAGGGCCCATGCCTTCTGGCAGCGCAGGGGCCCAAATGTGCCCAGTTTCAGCAGGAGGCGACTGCAGTGGTACAGGTGCTGGACCAAGGCAGCATCCATAGCTGGACACCCCGTGCTGAGGGGGTGGGCACTGGGTGAATCTATGCTGTCCTCAGCTCCAGCCTCTGGGCTGCTTGGGGGCCTGTCCCCAGGAACATCGTTGTCTTCATCTTCGTCTTCATTGAGAAAGCCGAAGCTCTCCAAGGCATGCTCCACAGTGATGCTGAGACTGGAGGCCCGGCTGCGAGTCAGGCCTTGCCTCTGCATGAGCAGACTCTCTAGTCGGGTCACCTCCTGCTCCAGGCCCTGCAGCTCAGGAAACTGGCCATGGTAGTCATCCAGGGCAGCCATTAGGGCCCCCAGTGCCTCCTCCAACCTCCTGTTCCCAGTCCCTCCAGCTGCCCCTGGGACTGGGGTCTGGACAACCATGGCCACACTAAGTTCTGAATGCTGCGGTGCAGGGGTTGGGGGTGAGGGAGTGGGACTTAGACTCTGAACCATTGGCTCTGGGGGATCTGGGGCAGGGCTTGTGAGGGGTTTCCAACTGGAATGGGCAGGACTTGGGTGGGAGGTGCTGGGGGCTATAGGGTCTGCCTGAGTGCAGGAACTAGAGGCTGGCAGGCTACAGGGAAAGGAGTCAGTGCATGGGAGGGTGCAGTCTGAGTGTACGGAAGGGCTGGGGAGGGTAGCAAGTTCTAGAGAAGTGGAAGGGCTTACATTTGTGGGGGTGGGGCTTGTGGTGGGATGGGTGGGGCTTGTGGCAGTCTGGACCTGGCCGATAGCACTGGGGGTACAACTTGTAGTGGTGTGAATTGACTTCCTAGTTTTGTGGGTGGGACTTGTGGTGGTGTGGGTGGGACTTGTGGTTTTATGGGTGGGACTTGTGGCATGGGTGGGGCTTGTGGAAGTGTGAGTGGGGCTTGTGGAAGTATGAGTGGGGCTTGCTGTGCTGTGGGCGGGGCTTGTGGTAATCTGGATTGGGCCTGTGATATTGAGGGTAGGGCCTGTAGCAGCAAGGGTAGAGATTATGGGCTTGTGGGTGGAGCCTGTAGTAGTGTGAGTAGGGGTGCTTGGAGCACTGTGGGTTGAGGTAACAGCACTATAGGTAGAGCCTGTAGTGGTATGAGTGGGGCCTGGCAATTCTGAAGGGCCAGAGTCTGTGGCCTTATGAACTGAGTCTAGGTGTACAGATGGGGCAGGGTCTGTGGATGTGGGGACAGAGCCTGTTGTACCAGGAGTAGAGCTTGTGGTAGAGTGGCCATGGTCCAGGGCAGGAGGATCAGGATTGGCGTGCTCCCTATGGGTGGGATCTGGGTGTATAGGTGGGCTTGGTCCCTGGGCTAGGCTTTCTGGGCCCACAGCCTCCATTGAAGCCTCAGCCAAGGCAGTGTCTACACTAGCCTCACTGATGTGGCTCAGAGTCCAACTGCAGGGTATGTGCCCATTTGCCAGGATTGGGGCCACAGCCCCCTCCTCATCCAAGAACCCAGAGCTAGGGGTCTCAGGCCTACGGAAGGCAACTTGGATGGGAACGGGCTCGGGTTGCTGCACCAGGGACCTAGGGGCTGATGAGTGGCGGGCAGTGCCTGAGAGCTGTGGGCTAGATGAGTCATCTGAAGATTCGGAAGACAGAGACCATGCTGTCCCATTCTCCAGCTCCTCCTGCTGTCATAGCATGTTATAGAAGTCCTGTTCTCAAAACGAGGGTGTGTCTGGTGGGCTCTGGCCATAGGCGGAGAAGTGCTTGGTGACTGTGGAAGCCTTGTTGACAGAAGCAGCAGCTGAGGGCTGGTCATCCTTGTCGAAGGGGCTCCATGTGACTTCCAGGCTGAGCTTGATGGTGCCGAGGTCATTGATAGCCACAGCCACAACCTGTGGCAGGGCAGCAAACAGGTCCTTGGTCTCACAGGAGACACTGCCCACAACCACATGGTTGGCCAGTCCCTTCAGTTCTGTTACCTTGATAGACAGGAATTCCGTGAGCAGAGGAAGAAAGATGGTTTCTTCACTGTCCCACACCTGCTTTCCACTACCCTCAATTCGGTCCCGTAGTTTCCAGTGCTAACGTCCATATTTCATGCAGATCTCATACTGATCACCCACACACAGCCTGGCGAAGCCAGCCAGCCTTTCATTCGGAGATGAAACTCGCCCAGCTGTGCCTCCAGCTCGCTCTCCTGTAGACACATGCTCTCTGTGTACTCTCGATGCCCCCAAGTGGCCTCTGCCAGGCTGTCCCAGGCCTCTCGGCTCCCAGGGGACCCAGTGGTATAGGCAGGGACCATGCTGTAGGCACCATCCCGCAGACGCCGCTGGACACATTATGCCTCACACAGCTCGTCGATCTTGCTGGCATGGAACTCCAGTCGTAGCAGGAAGCATTCAATGGACTTGACTTGCTTGTCCAGATCATATAGGAAGCCCAGGTGGGAATTCCTCTTGGACTCCCTTATCTGCCCCTGGAGTTTCTCCTGCTCCTGCTGGTGCACTTCCAAGGGCCGTCAGACCCCGCTTCAGCGCCGTGTACACCAGGTCCAGCCACTCGGGCTGTGGCAGCTTGGGAGCTGGGTGAGCCACGGAAAGCATCCTGGACACTCGGGAGAGGGCGGGGGGCTTCTGTGCCTCCCCCCGTGCTGGCGCGGAGGAACGCAGGTCTGTGCCAGGGATTGAGGAGACTGAGTGCTGTTTTTTGTTGTTGTTGTTTTACTTGCTGGACTGTCCAAAACTTCAATCTTGCCTTTTCCACCTTCAGAATTGTGAAGCTTAATGTTATCTATGGTGACTTCAGATGGGATGCTGTCATCTTCATTCTCTGATTCTGAACTGTTCTCTGAACTGTCTTGTGAACTCCCCTGTGAACTGTCCGCTTCTTTTGAATCCGACTGATTCATCTCAAACAGAGCCACATCCATTTGTATAACTTTGCCATGAGTCCCATCAATGTTTTCAATATTGAAACGACCAGGTGGTGCAGCTCCATTTCTTTTCTTAGCTTTTCATTTGCCTGTGCCATCTGTGGGAGAAATGTAAGAGTAGACAGTCAGGTATCAGCAGGCACAAGGGGGAGGTATCCATGTTGGAAAGAACCCCCTGGAACACTTCTTTGGATGTTCAGTACTCATTCCATCTTCGAACTGTCAGAATGCTGTTAACTAAATCATGATAAGAAAAAAAGGCAAAGGGGAATTCCTGAGAGCTGAGCAGGCACAGTGAGTACAAAATTGACTGATATACCTTCCCTGGGTGGTGGTAATATGCAGTGCCACCATTAGGTAGGATTCATATTGATGTTTCCCATGCATGTACATTAAGCACAGTAAGTAAGGGAGGATCCCCCAAACTTTGGTGAGAACTGGGCAAAGAAAGAACTGAGGCAATAGAAGATCACAATGCAGAATGTCATGGGGATGTTTCCAGCAGGGTCAAGCCCCCTCCTCTCTTGGAGTGTATTTGTACTTTCCGAATAAAACTTGTCTTTATTTACAAAAAAAAAATTAATAATGATTTTAGTTCTTTTGCATACATACCCAGAAGTGAGATTGCTGGATCATGTGGTAGTTCTATTTTTAATTATTTGAAGAACCTCATATCAGCTTTCCATAGCAGCTGCACCATATTTTTATTTTCACCAACAGTGTACAAGTGTTCAGATCCTCCGCATCCTTGCAATATTGTTTTGTTTGCTGGTTTTAGTGACCATCCTAATGTGTATGAGATAGCTCACCGTAGTTTCAATTTGCATTCTCTAATGAGAGGCACTGAACATATTTTCTTATACATGTACCTCTTCTTTGGATAAATGTCTATTCAAGTTCTTGGCCCATTTTTTTTAACAGGTTGCCTTTTGTTGTTGAGTTGTAGTTCTCTATAGACAAGTATTCTGGATATTAATCCCTTACAGATATAATTTGCAAATATATTCGCTCATTTCACAGGTTGCTTTGTCACTTGGTTGTTTCCTTTGATGTGCAAAAATGTTTAAGTTTGATGTAGTCCCATTTGTCTACCTTTTTCTTTTGTTGCCTATTATTTTGGTGTCATATTCAAGAAATCATTGCCAAATTCAGTGTCATGAAGATTTTCTTATACTTTTCTCCTAGGCATTTTATGATTTTCAGTCTCATGTCTAGGTCTTCAATCTATTGTCAGTTAATTTTTATATATGATATAAGGTTAGGATTCAAATTCATTCTTTTGTGTGTGGATATTCAGTGTTCACAGCACCAATTATTGAAGACTGTTCTTTCCCTTGTTGAAGATCATATATGTGAGAGTTTGATTCTGAACTTCCTGGTCTGTGCCATTGGTCTATATGTGTGTTCTTATGCCAGTGTTACACTGTCTTTAATTACTGTAACTTAACAATATTTTTAAAATCAAAAGTGCGAGCACTCTAACTTCAGTCTTCTTTTTAAGATTGTTTTGGCTATGTGGAGTCCCTTGAGAGTCCACATGAATTTTAGAATCGTTCTATTCCATTTCTGCCAAAAAGTCATTTGCAGTTTGATAAGAATTGCAATGAATCAGTAAATCGCTTTGGGTACATGCATATCTTAACATTAAGTCTTGCAATTCATGAACACAGGATGTCTTTCCATTTATTTATGTGTTTTCTAATTTCTTTCAGCAGTGTCTTGCAGGTTCATTTTGTTTTGTCTTGTTTTGAGACAGGATCTCACTCTGTTTGCTTAGGATGGAGTTCAATGGCATGATCTCAGCTCACTGCAGCCTCGACCTTCTGAGCTCAGGTGATTCTCTCACTTCAGCCTCCCAAGTGGCTGGGACTATGGGCATGTGCTACCATGCCTGGGTAATTTTTTGTATTTTTAGTAGAGAGGGGGTTCTGCCATGTTGTCCAACTTGATCTTGAACTCCTGAACTCAAGCAATCCATCCACTTTCACCTCCCAAAGTGCTAGGATTATAGGTGTTAGCCACTGCGTCTAGCCTCTTTCATAGTTTTCAGTGTGCAAGATTTTCCCCTCCTTGGTTAAGTTTATTCCAAAGTATTTTATTCTTCTTGTTACTATTGTTTATGCTATTTTGATGGGATTGTTTTCTTAAATACGTTTTTTGATAAACACATAATTTTTTTGTTGATTTTGTATTCTAAAATTTTGTTGAATTTGTTTATTGGTTCTAACAGTTTTTAGTGTTTTCTACACATAAGATTATGTTATCTGTAAACAGAGATCATTTTACTTCTTGCTTTCCATTTTGGATAGCTGTTATTTCTTTCTCGTGTCTAATTTCCCAGGCTAAGACTGTCACTACGATGTTGAATAGAAAGGGTGAGTGTGGACATTCTTGCCTTGTTCTTGATCTTAGAGAAGGTGTTCAGGTTTCCATCACTGAGTAAGGTATTAGCTCTGTGTTTTTGTGTGTGTGTGTGTGTGTGTGCATACATATTACATTTATATAACATATATGTGTATATGTATACATACACATTCATACACACATACACACACACACACAACCTTTATTATGTTGAGGTAATTTTCTTCTATTCCTAGTTTCTTGAGTAATTTTGTAACGAAAGGTTTTTCAATTTTGTCACATGCTTTTTCTGAATCAATTGAGAAAATTGTGTGATACTTGTCTTTTCTGTTAATGTGACATATTATATTGATTTTCATATATTAATCTATCCTTGCATTAGCAGGAATAAAACATGGTCATAATACATAGTTCTTTCAATGTACTGTTAAATTCAGTTTACAAATATTTTGTTGAGAATTTTGCATTAATATTCATCAAGTATAACAATCTGTAGTTTTCTTTTACCTTTGTTTAGGTTTGGTATCAGGTAATTTTGCCTTATAAAATAAGTTTAGAAGTGTTTTCTCTCTACAATTTTTTTGGAAGAAGTTAAGAATAATTATTGTTAATTTTTCTTTAAGATATTTGGTAGATTCTCCAGTGAAGTCATTTGAGTCTGGTCCATTATTTGTTGAGGGTTTTTGAATACTGTTTTATTCTCTTCACTGGTTATAGATCTGTTCAGATTTTTTTTTTTATTTCTTCATGATTTCATCTTGGCAGGTTGTATCTTTCCAGGAATTCACCTGTTTCTTATAGTTTGTCTAATTTGTTGGCTTATAATTGTTGTTAGTAGTCTCATAATCCTTTCTATTTCCGTGGCACCAGTTGTAATATCTCCTCATTTATTTCTGATTTTAGTTATTTGAATATACTCTCTTTTTCTTAATCTAGCCAAAGGATTTCAATTTTGTTGGTATGTTTTAAATCTATACTTTTAGTTTTGTACTTTTTTTCTATTGCTTTTCTATTCTTCATTCCATCTATTCCTGCTTTAATTTTTATGTTCTTCCTTCTGCTAACTTTGGATTTAGTCTGTTCTTCTTTTTCTAGTTCCTTTGTGTATAAAATTATCTTGTTGATTTCAGACTTTTCTTCTTTTTGTAATGGCATATCCCACTATAAAATTCACTCTTTGTTTGCTGCATCTGTAAGTTTTAGTGTGCTGTATTTTTGTTTCTTTTTTCAAAATATTTTATAATTTTCTTTGTGATTTCTTCTTTGACTCATTGGTTAAGAGTATGTTGATTAAACTCTGCATATTCATTAATTTTCCAGTTTTTCTTCTGCTATTCATGTCTAGTTTCATTCTATTGTACTGGGAAACATACTTGGTATTATTTCAATCTGCTTAATGCTGCTAAGATTTGTTTTATGGTCGAATATGTGGTCTGTCCTGAAAAATGTTCCAGCTATGCTTGAAAAGAATGTGTATCCTGCCATTGTTGGGTGAAATGTTGTATGGATGTGTATTTGGTCCATTTGGTCTATGATGTTATTCATGTTCTCTGTCTCATTATTGATCTTCTGGTGGTTGTTCTCCCCATTATTGAAAGTATAGTATTGAATCCTACTATTAATATTTGCTGTTTATTTCTCCCTTGAATCCTGCCAATGTCTGCTTCACATATTTGAGAACACTGATGTTAGTGTTCTCAAATTTATAATTATTGTATTTTCCTGATAAATTGAGTAGGTTATGATATATTGTTCTTTTTACCTTGTGATAATTTTACCTAATGTCTATTTTTTCTGGTATAATATGGCCACGTATACTCTCTTTTTGTTGTAATTTGCAGGGAGTATCTTTTCCATTCTTTTACTTTCACCTTATATGTCTTCTTAGATTTAAAAGGAGTCTCTTGTAGACAGGGTATAGTTGAATTGTTTAATCCATTCAGTCAATCTGTCTTTTTACTGGGGAAACTAGTCTATTTACGTGTAAGGTAATTATTAATATGGAAGAAACTGCTATTGACTTTTTTTTTTTTTGAGATGGAGTCTTGCTCTGTCACCCAGGCTGGAGTGCAGTGGCATGATCTCGGCTCACTGCAACCTCTGCCTCCTGGGTTCAAGCAATTCTCCTGCCTCAGCCTCCCAAGTAGCTGGGACTACAGGTGCCCATCACCACGCCAGGCTAATTTTTGTATTTTTAGTAGAGATGGGGTTTCACCACATTAACCGAGCTGGTCTCAAACTCCTGACCTTCTGATCCACCCATCTCGGCCTCCTAAAGTGCTGGGATTGCAGGCATAAGCCACTGCACCCAGCCTGACATTTTATTCATTGTGTTTCTGTATGTCTTGCAGCTATTATGTACCTCTTTCTCTCTGGCATCCTTTGTTTCATTGACTTTTTTTTTGCTAGTACATGACTTGATTTCTTTCTCATTTTCTTTTGTGTATCTTCATTAGCTATTTTCTTTTTAGTTACCATGAGGATCACATATAACATTGGGGAAAGCAGCAAAGGAAAAAGGACAGAGCAGTCAACAATTTATGTAGCAGAGCACCTACATAAATCGGTTATGAGTAACATATAAACAAGGAACAACAAACTGCGGAAGGTTGCAGGAGGCCTCTGAGGAAGAA